ATGCTGATCTTGCTAACGTTAATCTCGCCTAGCGCATGCCCTGTGCAACGTAACCTGTACCTCTAAGTCTTTTTGATATGTATGTCCTTTGCTTACTATGATCTGCCTGTACTGCTTGTAAACAACGCTTTTCACTATATTTCGGTACACATGACAATAAATCAATCAATCAATCAATCTGAATTCAATGTTGGGTTCTGGAAATGTGGATATAATGTTGTGGGACATTTGAACAAAAGATCAGAAGAAAGCCAGTTAGGTCCATAAAGCTACTCCTCCCATCCCACCTTGAATTGTTATTCTTGTGAAATGTCCTGATGAGTGCAAGATGAAAGGCTTTAATAAGATGTGTCTTCTCTCAGCAACACTCGGACCTGTTAATGGCTTACCTATTCATCAAAATACAACTAGCTCAGGGCTGACCTGCAATTTAACTCTGACCTGGCAGCACTCCTCAGTGTCCTGGGTCTCAGTCAGAACGATCTGCATTCCCCCACTGCCCCACAGCCTGCCCCCACCCTCCCCATTGTTCTGGACTCCCCGACCAGAAGAAACACTTTCTCTCTATCCGCTCCACAAATCCTTTAATCTCTCACTCAGCTCACCTCTTCCCGTTCCAAGGCAATCCAAGCCCAGTCTCCTGTCCTGACAATGACCCATGGCTGGGGAGAAGCAGGAAGTGGACTACATTCTGAACCTACCATCTGGGAAGTCAGGGTGGCAAAGATACAGGTCCTTGCAGGTACGTGCAGGGTTGTTTTGTGTGCCCATTGGATGTTTCATCTGTTCAATCTCCAGTTTCAGGGAGTTCAGGGAGCCAAAGATCTCCTCCATTCCATCTGCATAGTTCAGGTAGTTGTCAGGAAGGCCTTCCTCCAACAGCTGACTGGCATCGATGGAACGTTTGGCTCTTTTTGAAGAATGAATTGGGAATGGTTGAATGACCTCACCAGCAGGACCCTGCAGATTAAACAAAGTCAGTGGCATTTAATAAAACTAATATAAAATGGCCAAACAAATAGAATCTGTCTCCACACAGTGACTGACTTTTTCCTTTGAATAAATGGGACACATTCAACATGACATTCACTGAATTCCTTATAATGGCAGTCTATTGGGTGAAAAGAGCAGCAAAATTCCCCCAACTGCTGAAAAACTCTCTGTACAGAGGGAACACTGTCATGCACTGTACAGAGGCAGCGCTGTCACCCACACCGTACGTACAGAGGGAACGCTGTCACCCGCACTGTACGTACAGAGGGAGTGCTGTCGTCCACACTGTACATACAGAGGCAGCGCTGTCACCCACACTGTACGTAGAGGAAGCGTTGTCACCCACACTGTACGTACAGAGGCAGCGCTGTCACCCACACTGTACGTACAGAGGGAACACTGTCGCCCACACTATACGTACAGAGGCATCGCTGTCACCCACACTGTACGTACAGAGGCAGTGCTGTCACCCACACTGTACGTACAGAGGCAGTGCTGTCACCCACACTGTATGTACAGAGGCAGCACTGTCACCCACACTGTACGTACTGAGGGAGCGCTGTCACCCACACTGTACGTACTGTGGGAGTGCTGTCACCCACATTGTACATACAGAGGGAGTGCTGTCACCCACACTGTACATACAGAGGGAACACTGTCGCCCGCACTGTACAGAGGGAGTGCTGTCACCCACACTGTACGTTGAGGGAAAACTGTCACCCACACTGTACGTACAGAGGCAGCACTGTCACCCACACTGTACGTACAGAGGGAACACTGTCACCCACACTGTACGTA